TTCACCCTTGGGTGACTGTGTGGAGTTTGCACATTCTCCCCGTGTCTGCATGGGTTTCCTCTGGGTGTGCCAGTTTCCTCCCGCAATCCAAAAATGTGCAGGTTAGTCGGAGTGGCTGTGCTAAATCGCCCATGGTGTCCAGGGAGGCGCAGGCTAAGTGGATTAGCCATGGGAAGTATAGGGTTACCAGGATAGGGTTAGGGTCTGGATGGGATGCTCTTTGGAGGGTCAGTGTGGATTTGATGGGCTGAATGACCTGCTTCCACACAGTAGGGATTCTATCAGCTACTGCTGCTGGGGTGGTGGGGGGGTGGGGTGGGGGGGTGGGGGGGGGCGCGGGGCGGGAGGTGTAATTGTGTCACTCCTGCTCGTCTCCATCGGCCTTCACCTTTTTTAGCAAGGGAGTCACTGTGAGCAACATCTGACCTGTGGCTGCATCCATGGCTCCTGTAGGAGCATGCAGCACCCCAACAAGGAGGGCTACGTATCAGCTTCTTGGGGCTCTTTGAGACCTGGTTATTGTGCTGCCCCAGCTGAGTGAAAAGCACAGAACAGTCTCTTAGGGTTTGTTCCATGCACTCGGAACCAATCCGATCCCATTTCCTCATCAACAATGGAAGCTGCCATTGCATGCAGTGACTTCTATCATTATACTCTCAGAGCAATTGTAGAGGGGCTCAGTTCAGTGCCCCACAGTTCCCTTGAATGTCTCTAGAGTTCTGTGTTGGTTGTGTCCTCTTTTAAATTGTTGCCAAAAATATCAGTGTCCATTGAGATCTCAATCTGCAATTTGCAACAGTCAGTGATATAAGGGACATTGCCTATGACCATCGTTTAAAATCCACTTTCTGTCTACATGCATTTCACACAGTCAATGATATGATTGTAAATGAAGTGTAGCTGCATGTTACAAACATATAATTAATGCCTTTGACCCTCAATGTCCTCCCAACCGGAAGTGCAGCCTGTGTTTTTGCCCATCAAATTGACAGTGACTCTCCCAAAAGAGGAACCATATTATCGCCATTATTACAGTCAAGCCCCGTCAGGATCTTATACATTTCAACCACGTCATCTGTGACTCTTGTAAACTCCAGAGGATATGGGCGTGGCCTGTTACGTCTTTCCTCAGAAGCAATCCGCTCATTCGAAATTGCCAATCTCGTCCCACTACTGACAAGTACAGACTCAGGACCCAGTTTTTCTATCCCAACATTGGGGTCTCAACTCACGATATAACATTCAGCCCGCAGTCTCATGATAAGAGGTTGGCCATTTAGGATTATGACAGAGAAATGACATCATTCAGAGTAGTATGAGTCTTACAAACATCACATTTCAAAGAGCTGTGTGCTTTTCGTCATTGAGTGCATTCAGATTGTAGATTAAAGAGTTTTGGACACTAAAGCAACCACACTATAAGCAGATATGGAGATAAAGTGGAGAAGTGGGTTTAATGTCGATCAACCAAAAACCAATTGAATGGTTGAGCAGGTGTGAGAGGTTTTATGACTTAATGCTACTCCTGTTCCTAATAGTTCTAACTGAATTCACAAATAGCTGTCATTTTACGTATTCATTTCTTTGTTGCCAATTCCGACTTGTGAGGATAGTTATCCTTATCAAAGTAAGCTACCTCCTAAGCAAAGCAAATATAAAAACTTACTGCTTCCACAAGACCATAAAATATAGGAATAGAATTAGACCATTTGGACCATCGAGTCTGCTCTAATATTCGATCATGACTGATATGTTTCTCAATCCCATTCCCTTGACTTCTCCCCATAAACCTTGATTCTCCTATGAATCAAGAACTTATCTGTCGCTGTCTTAAATACACTCAACAACATGGCCTCCATAGCCCACTGCGGCACTGAACTCCACAGATTCACTCTCTGGCTGAAGAAATTCCTCCTCATATCAGTTCTAAAGGGTTGTCCCTTCACTCTGAGGCTGTGCACTCGGGTCCTCGTCTCTACTACGAGTGGAACCACTCTCTCCAGGGACCTCAGTATTCTGTAAGTTTCAATCAGATCCCCTGCCCAATCTTTTTAAAGTCTAACAAGTACAGACCCAGCGTCTTCAACTGCTCCTCATATTACAAACCCTTCATCCCCATGATCAATTCTTATGAACCTTCTCTGGTCTCCCTCCAACGTTAGAACATCTTTCCTGTGATACTGGGCTCAAAACAGCCCTCAATATTCTAAATACGGTATGATCAGAGACGTGTACAGCCACAGCAGTACATCCTTGCTGTTGTATTCTAGTCCTCTTGAAATAAATGCTAACATTGCTTTTGCCTTCCCAACTGTCATGTGGACCTAAAATGTTAACTTGAAGTGAATCCTGAACTAAGACTCCTAAATCCCTTTGTGCTTCAGATCTCCGAATCTGAAATCTTTCCCCATTTAGAAGATTGTCTACGCTTCTATTCTCCATCAAAGTGCATAACCTCACACTTTCCCACATTGTATTCTATCTGCCACTTCTATGCCCACTCTCCCAGCCTGCCCAAATCCTTCTGCATCCTGCTCGCTTTCTCAAAACTACCTGCCCCTCCACCTTTGTGTCATCTGCAAACTTAGCGACAATGCCCTCAGTTCCTTCATCTAGATATTAACATATAAAGTGTATAGTTGTGGTCCCAACATTGACCCCTGTGGAACTCCACTAGTCACCAGCTGCCATCCTGATACAGACCCCTTTATCCACACTCTCTGCCTTTTGCCAGTCAGCCAATCCTCTATCCATGCCAGTACCTTCCTCCTAACACCATGGGCTCATATTTAGTAGCCTCTTGTGTGGAACCTTGTCAAAGGTCTTCTGGAAATCCAAATAGGTCACTTCCATTAGCTTTCCTTTGTCTAACTTGCTCATTACCTCCTCAAAGAATTTAAACAGATTTGTTAGGCATGACCTCTTCTTCACAGAGCTGTGCTGACTCAGCCCTAATTTTACCACGCACTTCCAAGACCTCAGCTATCTCATCCTTAATAATGGACTCTAAAATCTTACGAACAGCTGAGGTCAAGCTAATCAGCCAATAATTTGCTGTCTTCTACCTAACTCCCTTCTTAAACAGTGGTGTTATATTAACCACTTTCCAGTCCACTTTGAACCTCCACAACTCAAAATTGCTGTAGATCACCACCAATGCCTCCACAATCTCCTTCAGAACTCTAGGTGTAGTCCATCTGGTCTGGGTGATTTATCTATTTTCAGACTTTCCAGTATCCCCAGCACTTTCTCCTTAATGATGGCCACTAAACTCACCTCTGCCCCTTGACTCGCTGGTGTCTTCCACCACAAAGACTGTTTCAAAGTACCTATTCAGGTCCTCCATCATTTCTTTGCTCCCCATTACTACTTTTCTCATCTCCTTTTCCAGTGGTCCAATGTCCACACAACTCTTTCTTACTTTTTATATATCTAAAACTTTTACTTTCTTCTTTTATATTATGAGCTAGCTTATCCTTATATTTCAACTTCTTGACCCTTATTGCGTTTTTAAAAAAAGTTATCCTCTGCTAGTTTTTAGTAATAGATAGGGGAAAGGAAAGTGACTCATCACAAGTGAATAATGTTGACAGAATATGACTGGCTGGGTTAAACCAGAATCACAGGTTTTTATCAAAAACATTTCTGAATCTTTAGCAGTGTGGGATGGAATTTTTACTATTCCTATAGTGTTTCTACTAAAAAAATTTCATACCATTTTAAGTGATGTCAAATTTCCAACTGAATTTATATTTATTCAATAGGATGATAAATATTGACAAGAACTTGTTTTGTTATGCAGAGCATACCTCAACTACTTATACTTCAAAAATAAATCAGCAGGCTCTGAGTAGTCTCTCTTTTTCAGATGGATATTCTCTCCATTTCACAAGAACTCACATAAAATAGTTCTCCTAACACAACAGAGATTAGTTTCAGGTACATAGAACACTGACATCCTTTTGAAGGATATCAGTGAACTTCAAACAAGTTCTCAAAAAGAAAAATTTGAGGCATGTTTGGAATTTGCAAATGCTATTACAAGGGATCAAGGGAAAAGACAGGCTGCACCCTGTCATGTACTTGATGCCTCTATTTAAGAGGATGAATTATTAGTTCATGCAAAGTTGATAACATCCACTTTTAGTTCCTCTGCACATTATAGGGATCTATAGAGTTCCAGAAGGATAAAGCAATGAAAATACTTTAATATAAGAATAGAGTTTTGACTTTAGTACAGACTTTACAGATTTTTTGGGGGGTCTGGATTTTAATGGGTTGTCAGAACTAGAGCTTTATTTGTGTTGTTTGTCCAGTCAAAAGGATACATTTTCCCTGTATCTGCACGGGTTTTCACCAGGTGCTCCAGTTTCCTCCCACTTTCCAAAGACGTACGAGTTAGGGAGATTGGCCATGGTAAATTGTTTGCAGTGTCAAGGAATGTGCAGGTTAGGTGGATTAGCCACGGTAAATACAGGGTTATGGGGATAGGGTTGTGTGGTGGGTGGGCTGGGTTTGCCTGGAATGCTTCTTGGAGGATTGGCACAGACTCGATGGGCAGAATGCATCCTTTCTGCACAGTAGGGATTCTATGAATTAATTGCAGGTAAACAAAGGAGCTCTGCTGTTCAAAAAAAAAGTGTCACAAAATGGTGGGACACAGATTTAAAACCAGCTTCAGCTAGTTTCCAAGTGTAGTTGGACTGCTAGGAGGTAGGGGAAAAAAAGAAAAAAAAATCAAATACTAACCTCTTTGGCACGTCTTGGCAAGCTACTTAAAAGCAGGATGAGCATAGACCAGACAGTAAAAGCTTCCCCTTTGCCCCCACAGAAGGAAAGGAAGTTATCAAATAAAATCATAGCTGTAGCTTGAAATAGAGGGGCACAACTGACTGCAAATATTTATTATTCCTATTTCATTCTTGAAACTAGATATCAGTGTGTGGGATTTTAGACAAAAGATGGAGTTATTAAAACTAATTTTGATTTAAATGCTAGAATTTTGTTCACAAGTCTCTTTTTATTATAGACAACTTTCGACGTGAACATTATCGAAGCAACATTCTCCAAATATTCTCATTCCAAAAGATTAAATTATCAAGCACCCTTGTTTACATTTCTTCATGATCCCCTTTTCTTTTTGATCACACACACTTGACTGAACTGAAACTTGTGTAAATGTTTCCAGTAGTCTGGATTCAGCAAAGTTTCATGAACTAAACAAATAAACATTGGAATTCTTGTACCATAGTAGTTCAGTAAGATGAAACTTTGGAATCCTTTGGCGAACTGAACATGGGAACCAGCAACTGCTGCAGCAGAGCAGATCACCAAAATAAAATCCTTCAAGCAAGCAAGTTAACAGAAAAGTGCAGAAAAAAAAATCAGATTGTTTAACATTTTTTACCTCAGACTACAAAAGGAATGTTGAAGGTTTGAATTACCAGGTTTTTAGACATATCTTTGTGGCCACGGACTTCATAAAGTTCCACTTTCTTCAAACTACCTTGCTAACAGACTAGGCCCAGCAACAGGCCACAACTTCTCAGACTGGGGCGATTTGCATCACCCTGCGCTGTGGTATTAGTGTTACTTTGAAGTCTACAAACTGCAACAGTATGTTTGAAGGACAAGTCATCTGGCAATCTGAATGCAATAATTAGATATAAAAATGTAATTAAGTAGGTTTAAAAAAAAATTACAAGAAGTGTACATAGAACTGCGAGATGATTTTCTTGTTGATATAATTATCCTTTTCTCAAAAAGATAATCAATTTACAAATAGTTGACAGAATTGTGCAAACTTAAATTAAGTTACTAGGCAAAGCATTAAAATATTACAGATGAAACAGTAATTGCAATTGTTTCTCCCTCTCCAGAAAATGGAGCTGTAAGATTTACATGAACAATCGTGAGGGAGAGCATATTCTTTGAAATAAAAAAAAATTCTTCAGATAAAGCTCTTGAGTTAAGTAATAAACATGTAAAGAACTTGCAGGTCATCACTCAAAACAAAAAAAAAAATCAGTGCCGTGTATTTCAAATACTGGTGCTAGTGATTAAATCAAATACTGTGCGAGTCCAATAGCTTTAGCTCTGTTGAGTGTCAGAAGTTAATCAAACACTTTAAAAAGAGTTTGAAGTTTCTGTTGTGCTTCAGGCTTGACTTTATTTATTCACAAACTCCTTATGATGCAATTACTCACTGCTTCAGTATCAACTCAAAAGTTATAAGTAGTTCTCAGTTTCCATTTGGAAACTGTACAGAAACAGAAGGCACCGATTATCTCCAGTCATTTTATTTGTAGAACAACCTGTCAAGACAGAAATTGTAAACTTCAGGCCAAGTTATAATTGAATGTGTGTCAAAACAGTTCTCATCTTAAGAATACACTAACATGTTACATACTTTCAGGAACATTCATATTTTCACTTATTTGAGAAGATTACACACACACTAGCTATTTTTGATTTTACAAACATGAGTTTTTGTGTCACATTGTGTCTTCAAGTCTACTATAAACAGGAAGAACTGGCAGGTGAGCTTTGAATTGATAGCTGAAATGCATTAGTGAAACTAATTGGTGATAGTTGTCACGATGATGTAAAATATGGACTATATGTCTTTGAACGCCATCAGCTGATTTAATACCTGGGACTTTTGGGAATTGAGATGGTTTTAAAAATGGTTCTCAAAACACTGTTTTAAAATAGCCACAGCAATCACACAGGTTGGCCAGGTGGGATGAAAGCAAAATGGATTACATAAAAGACCACATGAACTGAAATTTACAATTTATCCAAAAGCAATGTAGCCAACCCCTCCTCTGGCAGTATAAAAAGATAAAAGACTGAAAGAACTGCGGATACTGTAAATCAGAAACGAAAACAGAAATTGTTGGGAAAGCTCAGCAGGTCTAGCAGCATCTGTGGAGAGAAATCAGAGTTAACATTTTCAGTCGAGTGACCCTTCCTCAGTTAAAAAGATCTTAGTTTCCTTTTTGATTTGCACCATGTGAATCTTTAAATGTTATTTAAATGTGGCATTGCCTACAATTATCAAACTACACAAAATGAACACTGCAGACAGCATACACAAACAAGTTGTAATTTCAAGCAGATGTTTCTGGGAGAAGCATAGGAGATGGATTTTTTACTGCAGAACTGAAACATGCTGGAGAAGGATCACCATCTACCAATCCTGAAGAAAAACCTGGTGACCACATGGACTGGAAAGAAATATCAATAAACCAAGAACGTAAAAAATAATTGCAATATTCTCTATTGTTGAAAGTCCACAAAAATCAACATACCATTACGATTTCAGGCTAAAAAAATAATGACACCTCACGGACATTCAAACTGAATTTTTATTAACCTTGGGTTTGTATGGGATTTTATACGGTTAATTTCGAATCTGGGTGCATTGTGTGCACGTGCAAGTGGTGAGGACCTAAGATTCTACACAGAGGTCACATACTTTATTGTCTTTTTATTACATTCTGATCCCAAGAAAAAAAACCTCTTTGTCGTCTTACTTCTTCAGTAAAAGTAGTTAACTACACATTGATTGGAGAAAGGTATAGCTACATGATAAAAATGACTTTAAGTCTTTGCTGCAGCCAAACAGGGAGGTTGAGGAGAGCAGCCAACTAACCCTTCCTCACTTGGGTTGTAATATATTGCAATTGGGCTGTGTGGGGACAGATAAAAATTTATGATGGAAAATTTCTGGTTGGAATCAAAGTTTCCTGCATTTTACTTTCTATATCTTTTAAATTAAGGATCTGAATTTCAACTGAACCGATTCTGGTGGACTGAATATCCCTAAATGGTTATTAAATATCTGATCTCTTTCTTCCAATTTCCAAATAGTCTCAAAAATCAAGAAAATTAGGAACAATTCAAAACATACACCTTTATAGCCAGCTCCTATTAAGCTATAAATATTGATTTTATTCAATTTTCAGTGTAGATGTTTGAAAAATGCTCTAGATAATTCTGCATTTAAATCATCTTAAATTGAAATCAAAGATAAACCTTCAAAGGATGGGCAACAAAAGGCTCTAACCTCAAAAAAGCCCTTCAAGGTTTGCAAGATAACAAGCTTCTCTATCTCTTCCCTCCACTGGGGAAGTCTGTGCAAGTAGCAAGGTCGTTGAAAATCTTTTGTGTTTTTTATTTAATCCTAATTTAAAATGCATTGATTTCAGCAACTGCATTAACCCCTTCCTACAAAAACATGTAATTTACCAGGCAGTTCTTTTGCTTAGTTGGGTGCTGCTTAAACTTTTGCATACTCCAATTTAATTTGTTTGTTCCTGATAATAAAACAAAATTGCTAATTTGTCATTGAAATAAACTTCTGTTAAAACGGATACTTCACAAGCAAAATGAATCCCTGTTTTCTGATTTCCATACATTGGCATTCAACTACGCAGAACTTGCGCTGATTTATTGTCATGTGTGACCTCAGGATGTTCGTAAAGTGCTTCGTAGCCTAAGAAATATTTAAAGCGTAGTCATCATGTATGGAAATGCAAATTAATTTGTGCATAGCTAGTTTCAACAAACAACCATGAGATGAATTAAAAATTAAGCTATTTTAATTATGTAGGCTGAGGAATAAATCTTCATCAACACCCAGGAATAATGGCACTTATTGTTGAATAGTACCAGAAGATCTTTTCTAGCAGACTGTCTGGTGGACTAGTTTAATGTCTCATCCAAAGTAGAGTATCATTGAAATGTGAAGCTAAAGTACACCTCGGTCCCATTTGTAGCAATGAGTGCAAAATAAATAGTGTTGTACACACTGAACAGGGCCATGTGTAGGAAGATCTATCTTGTCCAAAAGAGTCCACCCCATAGCACACAAATTGTTAATGGAATCAAGACAGAACTCAGGAATTTCTTAGCAAATTCCCCCATATTTTAATAACATTGTGGTTCATCAAATCTCATTATGCTTTAAAAGGGATTAAAGTTCTTCACTTTTTCCAATTAAGCCTCAAAATTCACTCTCTCCAGCCATTCCATCAAAGAGTGACTCTGTTCTGGTTGATTTTCCTCCTTCCTGGGCCTACACTCAATATTCATTCACAAGGACTACTCCAGATCTTCACTGACAACTAATTTCACTAAGCCAGTCCTACTCTTGGATCTTTCCCCCAGTTCCCTGCCCCAGAATTCTAAGTCTTTTCAACTGCTCCTAGCAAAAACTGCTTATTAACTTTTTAATTCTCACTCTCAGATTTACTAAAGTTAATGCTCACATGATTTTACCTAGCCCCTCATGGGTTTCCCTTAATACACAGCCACCAACTATTCCACTTTCTCAGTTTCCTGAAACTTGAGTTCTGATTCCAACTTAGTCGTCTATTAATTACCCAGATGAATTTTAACAGTACATAGTCATCCAACTATCCTCTATTTCTGACAGAGTCCCCTCCACAGAATCTGTGCGTAGTACTTCTAAAATAGATACTGCTTCGGTCTCTCTACCACATCTATCCTCACTGTGTGTAATCTTTGAAGTCCTCTTCAGCGATTCCTGAGCTGTCTTGAGTGAAATATCAAATCTTGCATACAGATACAATAATATAAAAATTACCTTATTTGCTGCTTCCAGAGAGTGAATGAGGGTTTGCAGTTCTTCTTTGTCCATCTCAATGGAAACTGGCTTCAGCACTCCATTTTCTTTCACATCAAGGTCAAGATTTAGCAGTGGTGTTTGAAGAAAGGCAATCTTATCACTTGATAGAGGCAACTATAATAATAAAAGCAAGTGAAGCCTATAAATTTAAAGTTTGAATCTTCACTTTGGTTTTGTTCAGTAGATAGTATTAAAATATAGTTCGAACTCGGGGGAAAAAAAATTGATCACCTTTTTCACTACTTATATTCATCTTCCTATTTAAATATCCAAAACATTTCATACAATTTGCATAGAACTTGCACTGTTTCAGTATAATTAATTGGGTCCAGCAGTCTAAAGATCACAATTCCTTGTGAAATTTAAACAAAAATCATAAGCTAGCTCAATATAGGTGACTAGTGTAAAAAATGGAAATGTCTAGCATTTCTTTTCTTTATTCGTTCATGGGATGTGGGCGTCACTGGCCAGGCCAGCATTTATTACCCATCCCTAATTGCCCAGAAAGCAGTTCAGGGTCAACCACATTGCTGTGGGTCTGGAATCACATGTAGGCCAGACCAGGTAAGGATGGCAGTTTCCTTCCCTGAAGGACATTAGTGAACCAGATGGGTTTTTCCAACAATCGACAATGGATTCACAGTCATCATTAGATTCTTAATTCCAGACGTTTATTGAATTCAAATTCCCCCATCTGCCGTGGCAGGATTCGAACCCAGGTCCCCTGAACATTGTCTGGGTCTCTGGATTAACCGTCCAGTGATAATATTACTAGGCCATCACCTCCCGGTTTTACTTCTTACATTAATAAAGCAATCAGCCTTAAGCGAGTATTGAAGTACCCCAAAGCTGGCTACAAAAGGAATTTTACTTTTTTAAAAAAAAAATCATATTACAGTCCATTAGGCTGCTTAAGATTTTGAAAAAAATTCTCTCATGGAATGTGGGCATTGCGAATCAGGCCAGCATTTGTTGCTTATCCCAAACTGCCCTTGAACTGAGCAGCTTGTTTGGCCATTTCAGATCACAGTTTAGAGTCAACCACATGGTCATGGGTTGAGAGTCACAAGTAGCCCAGACCTGGGCAGGGACAGTAGACTTCCTTCGCTAAAAAGGACATTAGAACCACTTGAGCTTTTACAACAAATGACTGTAGTTTCAAGATCACCATTACTCTGACAAGCTTTCAATTCCAGATTTTACTCATCAAGATTAAATTTCACCAACTGCCATGCTAGGATTTGAACCCATGTCCCCAGATCTTTAGTCTGGGCCTCTAGACTACAACAGTTATCTTGGACTCGAAACTTTAACTCTCCTTCTCTCAACATCAATGCTGGCAGATATGGTGAATTACTCCAGCACTTTCTGTTTCTATTTAACATTTTGAGGAGTTGCACAAGTACTGCACCTTGCAACACACATTTGGAAGTATTCCATATAAGAGGATGACACCACAATAGGCAATTGGGAAAGAACAGAGCTGACGCTAGATTCTTAGAGACTTTGGAAATACAGTTCTGAAGCAAAACCCTGCCTTATGATCAAATAAATGAAGACTCAATAAAAAGGGGAGGACAGCACACTTGCCTCCATGTCAAAAAGTGGGAAGTTCAAATCCCTGAACAGAAACATCTGTTAAAAATCTAGGATGACATTTCAGTGCCATAATAATGGATTGTTGTATTTTTGGAGGTGACATATAGAAGAGATCAGGGCTCAATTATCCTCTCAGGTGAATGTAAAAAGTCCTAGAGCATTCCTCCAAGAACAGCAAAGGAGTGTGCATGGTGCTCTAGCGAAATGCTCTTCCTTAAAGAATGTGCAAAACAAGTTATTTGGTTATTTAATTGTTGTTTGTTTGAGGAAACAGTTTGAGGCATTTTGAACACTGCAACATTGACTACACTCCAAAAAGTACTGCAATGGTTTGTTATTAAGAAAAATGTTGAATAAATCCAAATCTTTAACTTCAGAGAAATAACATCGGAAGTGATGTTGCGATTAATCCTGCTAAAGATCCTAGAACGCAAAAAAGGATAATGCAGAGTTAGGGAATATTGTTTACAATTCTGGTTAGGGAAGCAATTAAACACTGGATTGAAATTTAGATTTCCTGTAACGAATGTAATTTGAAGTATACATTGTGGTGACTGATGGTGGAGAAATCTTAGGTTTAAAATGTTGACAGTACATAAACCCCTATACCTTCAGCTGCCAATCAAAATCCTGTAGATAAGCAGATGACACAGCATTTGTTTTCTCAATTAAAGCTGACTGGAGCTCCTCCTTTCTTGTTTTTAAACAGTTGAGTACTGCTTCTTGATGAGGTACACTCAATCCATCCAACAGCTGAAGAATCTAACACAAAATAAAAGTCCAGTCTATTTTATTGTGTAAAATAGGGTTTTTGTCCATAGTATTTCTTTCAAATACAAACATTTTTAGTATGTGCATACGTTGGTTTCAATAATTTTAATTACTTTAGTAACACCTATAAACACACAGATTCCATTAAAGATCTACCAGATGTAAGACAAGCTTGATGTGACTCAGTGCCTAAAAGTAACTTTCATGTCTGCTGAATGTGAAAATTGAGATTCATGAGGTTCCTGTAAATTCAAAACTGTTTTTATGCCCAAGAAATCTGAATTACCCAATACCTTTAAGTTTTGAAAAATGTTTTAGGAGGGAGAAAAGAGCAAGTGAGTATGATTAGTTCAAGGTTTTTCCCTTAATGATCTGGCACAACCTTGTTCGGCCAAACTGCTTCCATTTGTGCATCTCTCTCCGGCTTTGTGTATTCCATCCTTGCAGGTAGTGTACCACCTGAAAAGTTATGGGCTGCCATTTAATCAACAGTTTTCATAAGGATTGGAACAGCTTTCCTTTGACATCAAAACAGTTCAACATAGACAAAGCAACTCTTACTCATCGAAATAAACAGAATTTACATAAACCTACCAATTGCTCAATTACTGTTTGATTACATGAGTAATTTTCCTAGATATTTATCCTATTACTGCTTTGTTAAGAACATTTGTTCACAGGATGTGGTCATCACTGGCTAGATCAGCATTTAATGACCATACCAAATTGCCCTTCAGAAGGTCATAGCTAGCCATCTTGAACTGGTGCAGTCCATGCAGTATAGATACACCTACAGTGTCATTAGAAAGAGAATTCCAGTATCTTGACTCCATGATAGAGAGGCAATTACAATATTGTTTCAAGTTACGATGGTGTGTGGCTTGAAGGGGAACTTGCAGTTGGTGATGTTCCCTTTGCCGGCTATTGTGGTCTTTCTAGGTGGTAGAAGTTGCAATGTTGGAAGATGCTGTCAAAGGAGCCTTGGTGAGTTGCTGGATTGCATCTTGTAGATAAAACACTGCTAACAGTGTGCAGGATCAGTGGTGGAGGGAGTGAACACTTGGGGTAGTGACTGGGGTTGCCAATTAAGCAGACAGTTCCACTCTAGATTGTGCCAAACTGCTCGAGTGTTTTTGCAGCTGTACTTATTTAGTACTGGCAGTTAACTTTCAGTCATCATTTAACTTGTGCATTCTCCGCAGCAATGCCTCTGGCAGAATTCACTTGTCAAACAGCACTACCCTCATATAGTATAAAATGTATTCTCCCTTTACATTAGGACAATTCCAGTGAATACCAATGAGTACAAGACAAAAAGCATTGACAAAATGTGTCTTTCTCTAAAATACTCAAGTTCTGTACAGGTAGTTCTCCTATAACATGATAGTTGCGTTCTCGTGCGACCTCACGCTATAGAAAAGAGTAATAGAAAATTATGTTATAGAGAAATTGCTACAGAAAAATCACTATATTGTACAGTAGAAAGTTTGCATTATCCAAACACTGTCCACTATTCATCTATTGTGTTACAGCCAAGTTGTGTTAAAGAAACACGTGTTATAGAAGAAACACCTGTAATACTAATTCCAGTATTTATTAAAATTGTTGCACTCTATTCTAAAAAATATTGAGTAGATTTTGACCAAAAGCATTAAAATTCAATAAATTCTAAAACTAACCAACCTCTTCATCTGGTAAATGCTTTCCACTGGCATGTTTCACAAATGCTGTGGCTTCCTCTAGGACCTCCATCCATTCTATCAGACTCCAAATGTTTCCATAATCGCGGAATCGTGGAAGTGCACGTCCACAAATACCATCAATTACTCTGTGAATAAACTACAGAAAAAGAGAGAAAAAAAGAAAGCCTCAAATACAAAGACAAATCTGTTGCCTATTCAATTGTATTCAAATTACATATTACCTGCATGAAAAGGCATTTGTCGCGAAGCTTGAGGAGAATTATGTGGAAAAATATCTAACTACAGATACCCTCAGCCTATACTTGTTGGTTCCTCTGTGCTAGCTAGAAGAATGTCTTTCATGCTTTATCCTGTACAATATTTCATAAAATGCAAAACCTCAATTAGCCAACTTTTTAAATATTTCTTCTCACTGTCAGATTAAGTGCAGTTAAAAGTTTCACTTTTGATGACTTTTACTAATTCTTTCCTAATAGATACCCAGAATTGCATACAATATGCTAAACTGTAGTCTAATCTAATTCAAATCTGTACATTTAATGTCACTTCCTTACTTTTATACTCAATGCTTCTCTGTACAATATCTAGAAATTGCCTGGCTCAAATCCATTCAGTTTACAAAGTTGATGGGTGATCAAGGTGCTTAAATTATAAAATAAATTTTATTAGAAACAATTCCCTTCAAATGGGAGAAATCCAAAACATGAAGAGATGATCTTAAAATCCAAACTGAGTACAAGCGAAATCAGGAAGCACTTCACAAAACAAACTGTGAAAATCTGTAACTTGCTTGTTCTAGTGATTGCGGATTTTGGGTTAAGATTAATTTTCAAGACTAAATGCGATTGATTATTCTTGGGTAGGACTACAGTTTAAAGGGGATAAATGCAGGTAAATGGAATTAAAGGTATGGATTAAGTCGTGATGCTGAAGGGACTTGTGTTGTTGAATGTATACTTTGAGTTTAAGAAAGTCCACCTTGAAGCATCCATGTGCTATATGTATAAAATGTTCTAACTCTGCCTGACAGTTGGTTTGCTTTGTGTCTACAAACTACACATTCAGTAATCAGTTGGTTTGCTGTAATGTTTGCTTTATAGCTTTGAATGTGTTTTACTGCTTTAAATAATCTGTTAGTCACGTGTTGGGGGTTGATTTATTTAACATAACATTGTGAACAGTACAGTCTGTTCTGATATAACGCATGTTTCATCAACGCAAATTGGTTTTAATGCAATTGAAGAATTATAGAACGCTATTTGTAGAACACGAACTTTCCTTACCTGTATTGGCTGTAACGTGATTCCATCCCCATCACTTTAAATTTCACAGTTATTGTGCGATTTTCTTATAATGCGAGATCGCATGAGAATGGAACTATCATGTTATATCAGAACCAACTGTAGTATAAAACGTGTTGATGAGGCCTAAGCTTCATTCTTGGGAAAAGAAAATTCTGAAAAATATTTTAACTCACCCAAATTTGTATAAAACTGAAAAATTTTACATCTGTGGCATAATAAAATTTCCGCACTTGAAGTAGAAATAGGCTTTACTAACTTACAAGAACAATTTGGGACTTAACTGTAGTTGTTTTGCTTCACAAGACAATTTTTCAGCTTATTAAAGCAGTCCTTGATTATATTCTCTTAATAACCAACATCTTTTTTCCGTGAGTTTAGCATTGCTTGAAATAAGTAGTGATTATATGTATTGAGAAAGCTGACTTAAAGATCAATGGGCTTTGTGTCATGCAAGGTGAAATATTTATATCTTTTAATATCAGTTAGAGTCTGAATTTTGAAGTAGTGGCATGTGGGCTTTAGTTTGGGAGTAGAGGAGGGATTAATAATTTAACTTCTCAGTATTTCTGAAACCATTTTTTAAAAAACAGTATAAGAAGGCTAACTCCTGGAGTGTTAATGGGAATTTGTTCACTTTCCATTAGAAGGATCAGGGATTGATTTTTTTTTTAGGGGAGCACTCAGCTTGGAAACCTTTAGGTTTCAATTCACAGAAGTCCTGTTTGAAATTGGATGTCTGAAACACTTCTCCTGGAACAAGGACTTGCTTCCAAAAAGTTAAAAATAGGTTTTACTAACTTACAAGAACAATTTGGAAGTTAACTCAAATTGTTTTTGCTTCACAAGACAATTTTGCAGCTTATTAAAACTTAGGTTAGATTCCCTTAATAAATCAACAAATGTTTCCATGAGTTTAGCATTGCTTGGAAAGGAAACTAATAATTTTTTTTTCTTTATTCCTTCATGGGATGAGGGCATTGCCGGCTAGACAGCATTTATTGCTCATCGGGCAGTTAAGAGTCAACCACATTCATGTGGTCTGGAGTCACATGTAGGCCAGACCAGGTAAGGATGGCAGTTTCCTTCCCTATGTGAAACAGATGGGTTTTTCCAACAATCAACAATGGATTCATTAGATTCTTAATTCCAGATATGTATTGAATTCAAATTCCACCATCTGCCGTGGCGAGATTCGAACCTAGGTCCCAGAATGTTACCTGGGTCTCTGGATTAACAGTCCACTAATAATACCACTAGGCCATCGCCTCCCCGATGTATTGAGAATGCAGAGTTAACAATCAATGGGTTTATGACCCTTTGATTAGGCCGTACTTAGGAGTATTACATTCAATTCTGGTCACCTCATTACAGGAAGAATGTGGAAGCTTTGCAGAGGGTGCAGAAAAGCTTTACCAGGATGCTGAGTTTGGCCATACCATCAGTTCTGAGGAAGGATCACTGGACCCGAAACGTTAACTCTGTTTTCTCCTCCATAGATGCTGCCAGACCTGCTGAGCTTTTCCAGCAACTTTGTTTTCATTTCTGATTTACAGCATCCGCAGTTCTTTTGGTTTTTATTTACCAGGATGCTGCCTGGATTAGAGGTTATGAGCTATAAGGAGAGGCTATAAAAATTTGGGTTGTTTTCTCTAGAGTGCCGGAGGCTGAGGGGAAACTTAATAGAATTCTACAAAATTATGAGATGCAGAGATAGGGTTGATAGTCAGAATCTTTTTCCCCCCAGAGTCGAAATGTCTAATACTACGGGGCAAGCATTTAAGTGAGAGGCTGCAAGCTCAAAAGGAGATGTGAGGGGCAAGTTTTTTTAAACACAGAGTGTGGCAGGAGTCTAGAACGCACTGACAGGGATGGTGGTGGGGACAGATACGATAAGGGCATTTAAGGAACTTTTAGATAAGCACATGAATATGTAAGGAATGGAGGGATACGGACCAAGGGCAGGCAGAAAGGATTAGTTTAATTTGGCATCGTGTTTGGCACAACATTGTGGACCAAAGGACCCGCTCCAGGGCAGTACAGTTCGATGTTACCTAAGTGTAAGTATTTAGGTTGAAATTTCCAGACCAGAAGTGTTTACTTACAACCCTGAAGGGGTTTATGATATGGAGAAAGTCGAAGCTTAAACACTCAAGGAAGCAGCTACCAGACTGTCAAGAAGTTGTAATTGAAGGCAACAGATAGAACAAAGAAGAGAATTCACACGCATAATTAGTATTCATTTCAAGCAATGCTAAATTTCTGGAAAAAAATTGTTGATTATTAAGATAATTAATCAAAGACTGTTTTAAGAAGCTAAAAATTGTCTTTTGAAACAAAAAAAGATGGCAATTCAGCACTGCAACATAATTTTGTTGGGATGGATGGAGTGTTCCATTTTAATTGTGTACTGAAATCTTTCAAATCAGGTTACCTTGGTTCATTCTTTTTTATATTTTCTTTTGCTTAATAAACTTGTTTTATTGTTGAATTCAAATCTACATCATTGTCTACTTTTGTTCCAATTAAAAACCAAGTACAATTGAAAAAAAAGCATTCGATCAGTAAAGCCAGATTTCAGTTTAGCATCTTACTGATCCAATACCACCACCTGGGATCATAACACCGGAACCAAAGTTAAAGCTCTTTCATGGGCGCGACGGAGGTTCCGAACGCTTGATTTAGTCTGCATGTGCATATAGACGACCATATAAACATACAAAAATCAGAACTAGGCCATTCAGGCTCTGGAGCTTGTTCGATCACTTAATAATCCCACAGCTGATCTAGTTGCAACTTCAAATCCATACTCCTGCCTACCCCTAACGACAAGCTTGAAAAACGACTGAGAAAATCTTGTGTTTCTCTTACTGCCTGAATGAATATTTCCAGTTTTGTCTGTTTTTATTGCTGTTTAAAAAGTAATCAACGACCACCTTTTAGGCACCTAAATTTTAAAACACCTCGCTTTCATCAATGAAACGAACTAACCCATTGTTGGGGAGTCCCTGCCATTTTCTGAGAGACCTGCGACTGGCGGAGAAACCTCAAATCTTACAAAATAAGAAACACACAGTAAAGAGAGACCAGAAAAGCGGAGAATCCAGACCAAAAGGGGAAAGCGAAACCGAGCGACGGCTGGATGATGTACAAAACATCGGCATTCTTGGGCAACCCGTCGGTCCGTGAAAGGGGCAAGGGCGAGCGGGAACTCTGCTAGGAAACACCGAGGCTCCACCCGCGGCCGCTATCGTTGACGAACAAGAGGATTAGATGGAGGGAGAAGGCTCCCCAGGCCCCTGAGCTTACCCGGGGGCACTCCTCTGCCGCCAGCTTGGTCAATAACGGCAGCGTGGCCGCGCGCTCAGCCGTTGGGCTATCCATCCGTCAACTCGGTCTCGAGCGACAAGAATCCAGGGAACAGCCAAGTGGCAGAACAAGCCCCTCCTCCGCTCAGCCCGACTCCCGACCAGGCTGCGGCTCCCAGCTCGACGTTTCTGGATGTCGGATGAGGGTACAGGCTCAGATGCTTCTCCTTTTCTCTCCGGATTTGAAACTCTCGATTGTCAGCGCTCAATGGGAAGGTTCAAACGGGGAGAGCTATCACCTGCGAAAGGTATCATTGGGCATTAAAAGTGTAACCCGTCCAGGGAAAAATTAGATACTTCAGGATAAAACAATATAAGTAAGTCTACCACCAAAATATTCCCGTCTTTGTTCTTGAACTGAAAGAGTGTTCAAGAGCCACTAGGCATTTCCACTTTCTACCAACAAGCTTTTCTTCCCCTCCTTAATATACTTCAGCCATAACATTTTAATTTATTCTACTACTCTTAACAAGAACCTTGCACGTTGATACACTTTTATTCTTCAAATCTCTGTTGTCACTTTTTGTTCCACTATGCTTGTATTTACCTGCATGGAAAATTTTCTGTTTGAACTCCTAAATCTCCCTTCATCGGAACCTTACCCCTCTTGTTAGTTTGAAAGCCTCGCCATGGCAATGGTCACAGTCTTTAAGAGTCCAATCCCTGATATCTATACCAAGAATAGTAGAAAAGCAAGGGACAAGAGGGAAGACAGGAATTTAAAACAACATCAACTCGAGAAAAAGGTACTGGAAAGCTGCTGGGATAAAAGCCTGAAAGTCAGCTGGACCCGACGGCCTGCATCTTAGGAAATGGATTGGTGAAGATTGCAAATCGTAGATAGAAAGAAAAAAAATCACTTTGACGTTTCAAACACAATGACATCTTAGATAAACAACAAATAAATTCTAACAAAATGCTGTATGGAAAGTTGTTGCTTATACTTAAATAGTGAGGATTTATGGTAATGCCTAAAAATAGACAAAAAATAGAAGAACTGGTTCAAGTCCTTAAACAGGATCAAATTGTCCTAAAGATAGTGCCACAGAGAGTAATGTTTGCACATCTAATATTTCTAATTTATTGTTCATAACTTAAATTCAGAAGTTCAATTCCTATTGTTGAAATGACAAGCAATGTAATTTTAAGATGAGTTTAGAAATATATAAATAAGCAGAACAATCACGTGTTTACAGGGAAACTTGACAAGGAGAGAAGATGGGAATAGATGTGAGGTAAGGGGTTAACTATAGTTTTGCTCTATGATGTGAAGGTGCCAGTACTGGACTAGGATGGACAAAGTCAGAAGTCACACGAATCAGGTTATAGTCCAACAGGTTTATTTGAAATCACAAGCTTTCAAGGCGCTGCTCCTTTGTCACCGGAGTAGTGCTCCAAAAGCTTGCGATTTCAAATAAACCTGTTGGACTATATCCTGGTGTCATGTGATTTCTGACTCTATACCTTTACTCTAATAGCTACCAACCATGCAAATAATGAGCTATGTCATAGTGGCAAAGTTAGAATTGGAACTTGAGTTTATAGGGTTCGGAAGATGTCTTTCCTCATCATCCCTGGTGTACAGTTATATTTAATGAAACTTTTTAGCATTTACTAATAAAAGTGTAGACCTCATCTTGTTACAGTTACAAGGGAAACTTAGATTAAGAAAGATAGGAGGCGTGCAAGGGGACTATAAATGCTAACATAGATTGTTTGAGCCACACACCTTGTTTCTGTACAATATATCTGATATAATCCAATGATGTGGAAGAAAATTACTGTACCAACAGGGAATCACGTTGATGTTTATTGGAACACAATGTGTGTTGTTTGTAATGTTGCATTTTCCTAGTACACACTGAGAGCAAAAGTACACACCACAGAGGGGCAATTTCTTGGTAACAAGATCCTGATTAGCTGGTGACCATGGCTTGTGTGGGACTAGTACAGCAGAAAAGACCTTGTCTGAAAAGACAGACCATCAAAAAATCTCTCTGTGTGGCTTTCTCTCCTGTGTAGAGCTACCAGAAGGTCTTCAGTAATAGATAGCTGTCTTCTACTCACGTTTCTGTGAAAATTCCCTGCTGGAGGAGGAATAAACCACCTTCTAAGACAAATTCTCAACTAGTAAATGAAAGAGCATCAGTGTGCAGACAACTTTGTGTCAATGGTAAAGAATCAAAAGCAATTAGAAGAAATTGAAAGAAACCATTAATCAACTCATGTAGTCCAGATTGGTGTTTCCCTGAATATTTTCCTTTTTCAGCACTTTCTGTGACATGTCTGTCTTTGTGTGTCTGTTTATGAAGGATGTTGGGGGCGGAATTTAAGAAGAGATGGAGTTTAAGTTACAGAGTTATATGTTAACAATTAATATTTCCTAAATTCCATTAGTTAAAGAAAATTTGTTTAGAATAATTTTTTTGGTTCAGTATGGAAACCTAGTGAGTGATTACATTTTACCTGAATTTGTCAATAAGGTAAACTGGGGACTTTGGATAGTTTAATTAAATCTTTTCACATTTTTTACAACTCTGGGAGTTGTGGGGCTTGATTTCCAGCAAACTACGCCAATGAGTCATGGCCAAGTTCGGGGCTCCACATGGAGAAAAGGCAACGTAACATTGAGTGTGAGTTGATAAGCGATCAATGGATAAAAGGAAACACCAGGGTATATAATTGAAAATAAGGTGGTACAAGAAACTACTAAAGCTTTGCTGCAGTTAGAATAGATGACCCTGACAAATTTAGAAGCGATTCCAAAAGCCAGGTTGATTGAATTTGCCAGCAAATGAGAAGTGGAATTACAGGCTAAGTGCCAGAAAATGACTGAAGCACTAACACAGCATTTGAGTTTAATAGAGATATAATATAGATTAGATACTCCAAACAATGAGATATTGTAATCAGTTCGTATTAAGTTACAGTAGTTTGAACATGAGGAAAAAAAGGGGGCTGGAAATGAAATGGAAATAAGAAATCTAAAATTAGAATTGAAAAGGGAAAAAAAAGAAAAGGAGAGAATACGAATATAACCATGGAAAATGCTATTGCTTAAAAAGAGCTGTCAGACGCTGATGTAGGCTCTGATGAGGAAAATTCTAGCTGTGATGCAAAGTCCAATAATTAAATGTTTGTTGTACGGGCCCTACCTATATAATTGAGGAAAAGGATATAGAGATATATTTGAGAAAATAGCAAGAGAAATGAATTAGCCAAAGAAAAACTGGACATTATACATGCAGTGCAAGTTGACAGGTGAAGCACAAGAAATTTATGTTTCACTGTCAGAGGAGGTTTTTAGGGATTATGATTTTTTTTTAATAAAAGCTATACGGGGTGCAAATAAGTTAGTACCTGCTTTCTGAGCCTCAGTTTATAAAGACATGCCAAATACTTTCTTTGAATTAACCTCATATTTAATGAAAATTTCAGCTATTCTAACTTCTTGTTGTATTATTTTGGCCTCTGGTGAATGCCTTTGTTATTCTAGTTAAACCAGACCGAAAATACTGTGAATAGTTTGGTCCCCTTATCTAAGGAAAGATATACTGGCATTGGAGCCAGTCCAGAGAAGGCTTCCTAGGTTGATGAAGGCATTTTCATATGAGGAAAGGTTAAGTATATTGGACCTGTACTTAATGGAGTTTAGAAGAATGAGAGGTGTCCTTATTTAAACATGGAAGAAACTTAGGAGATTTGACAGGATTAATGCTGAGAGGTTGATTTTTCCTGTGTGGGAACATCTAGAACTAGAAGGCATAATCTCAGAGTAAAGGATCACCCATTTAAGGCAAAGATGAGGAAGAGTTTCTTCTCTCAGTGAGTACTTAATCTGTGGAATTCTCTACCACAGAGGCCTGTAGAGGCTGGATTGTTAAATATATTGAATGGTGAAATACACAGACTTTTAATCAGTAAGTAAAACAGGGGTTATGGGGTATAGGAAGGAAAGTGGAGTTGAGGATTATCAGATCAGCCATGATCACACTGAATGACAAAGCAGTCTCGGTGAGCCGAGTAGCTTACTTCTGTTTCTCATATCTTGAGGCGTTAAATTGTAGACAAGGGCAAGTTTGCCAAGAACACTGAAAGTGAAAGATCTCATAGAATTCTGTCTTCTTGAAACTAAATGCAATATCGTGAACATTTTAGGAATGTATGGTTTCATAGGAAATTTGTGCCTAACTTCAACAGGATAACTGGACCTTTTAGCAAATTTAACAAAAACATAAAATGGTAAGCAGATCAAGCAGCTTTTGAACAGCTGAGAGCAATCCTAATAAATCAATCAGTGTTGGCCACTCCTGACTTCACCAAACCTGTTAAAATGGCAACCGATGCTTGTGATTTGAATTAAGTGCGGTCATATTGTAAGATGAGGAGTTAGGAGTAGAGAAGCTAATGGGTTACTTTTCCAAGGAGTTCAACCAAAGTCAGAGGAAGTACTCTACTGTGTAAAAGGAAACTTTGGGATTATTGCAGGCTGCTCAATGATTTGAAGTCTCTGTCATGTTGAAATAAAACTTGAATATATATTGATCATAATTGAAAGGTTTAAAAGGAGAAATACAAGACTTTTGAGATGGAGTCTATTGATGCAACTAATCAATGTCAAGATTGTTCACATTGCTGGTAAAGATAATTTGATTATAGATGCCTTAGCCTGAATGTAAAGTAAATCAGTAACTAATTTAAGAGATGATAGAAGATTATATAGGACTTCAGCCCAACCAGTTAATGGCAGTGTGCATGCTCCATTCAAGCTTCCTCCTATCTTTCCTCGTCTAAATTTACCATCATAACTATCTGTTTTCCTTTTTGTCCTTATACACTTTTCCAACTTTCCTTCAACCCATTTATTCACTGCAATCACTCCCAGTGGTAGCAAGATCCACATTCTTACCACTCTTTTAGGACAGAGATTTTTTTAAATTCCCTTTTGTATGTCTTTGTCATTACCTTACATTAATGACCTGTAGTTACTTTCTTCCCCACAAAAAGAAACATTCTCGCTTTATCCAATCTATCAAAACTATAGTATAGTGATACATGCTGCGTGATGATTGTGGGGTTTTAGTGATTAAAGTACTCTTGAATGTAACGTGACAATGGTTAGATTCTCGCATGTTTGAGATAGTCATTGTCTGGCACTTGTGTAGTGTGAATGTTACTTGCCATTTCACATTGCAATCTGATATTTCATTTAAGTGATTAAAAATGTAGGAACATGGTGTCACACATTTGGAACTCCTTAAGTTGTTTTCCAAGAAGTTTTGAGTAGTTTAAATGACTGGTCTGTGCATACATTATGTTCCAGTATACGTTGTATGTAATTGA